TGGAGTTGTTTTACAGGATTTGTCTTATCCGACTTTCCTAAACTGGTATTAAATCTGTTAACTCGTGCAGACATTAACTGTTTTTGGCATTTTTGCTTTGGGAAGGAATAGCGGTCGCTTTCTCGTCTGAGAGGCAGTTTTATGACCTTTTAGGTATAAAACTCAAAATACCATTGTGTATTTTCCAGAAAATACAAAAACATTACTTCAAAGATACAGAACAATGAAATTGTGCTCAAGTGTGAATAGCTCAAATGTATATTTTATTGAATAGTAAGGGGTCATATTTCTAACTACGACAAAATTTGGCCGTGAATGACGAACAATATACGAAGCGAAATACATTTATTTAATCTGGTTTTTCTATAGCCTGAAATAACAACACTTCAAAGTACAAAATGTATCAGTGATATCATTAGTATTTAAGCAGTAAAAAATATTTAGTATTATATTATTACTTTTACACAATTATATAATTGTGTAAAAGTAATAATATGCTAGTCGAACTACGCGATATAATATTAATTCTCGAATGAAAATAGCGGGAGAAAAATTTTGAAAGCAAATGTATGTTTACTACAAAGCTTTTATTACAAAGTTTACTACATAATTTTTATATAAATTTAATCCAAAAATCAATTATTTTCTCATCAGAAGGGAATAATTAAATTGAATTTGATTCTCAAGTTTCGCGTTTTTACTTTGGTCAACACTGTTAAATTTACGAGCCACTGAGTCCATCATCTGATCGACCGAAAAATTTTACAACCCGTCATTTATTCGTGAATTTTTTAGAAAAATTATTTTATTGATATTTATTCATAAATTTTCATTTCAAATCATTAATGGGATTTGACAAATCCTTAGATACATAAACAACGCACTATAGAACACATTTGTGTCGAGTATTTCGGTTTCAAAATTGTCGGAGTCGTGGAGTTGTTAAGCGGATATAACTCCTCCCTGAAGCGGAGTCAAATCCGAGTCGATCCGGCTTCGGATATGATAAGCCCATCTCTAATATATATATATATATATATATATATATATATATATACTAGATGACCCGCCATACGTTGTCCTGTACCCATGTCTATAGTTCAAAAGTTCCATTTTTTTAATAACCTATATTGTATAAATTATTATGTTTTCTACACTAGAGTCTATACCGAAATGTATATACATCCATATGGGTGATCTTAAATGTACAACTGTTCTAAATAAAATGTTGAGACTCAGTGGCCGCCTGCGTGCGAGCATTTTTTGGCCGCCCTTGAAATAAACTTAATAGGAAAACATCAAGTATGTTCTCCCAAAAAAATTGACTTGTAATTTTTATGTTTTTTCAACGTTTCTAGTTATTATGAATGAAGTGTGTTTTTGACTTTTTGTCAACGTTTTCTTAAAAACGGTTAAATCGATTTCAAAAATTTAAAAGTTATTTGATGTAAATAGATAACGACTTTGTGTGTCAGTTTTGTGCAACAATCGGCCAAGCCGTTTCTAATCAACAGAAAAGTGTTCAAATTTTCGTACACGTTTTAGCCAAAAATTTTGCATCGTTCAGAAACTTGAAAGATATCATTTGGGAATCGTTCTAATTAGTTTTAAGAGATCGGTCTTTAGTCGTATTTATTTATTAAATATTTTTTTACGATGATATTTTTAAATTTTGGCGATAGAGATCATGATATCAAATTTAACTAAATATGTCGACCCTACAAAGTCGTTTTAATTTTCCAAATATTATCAAGGTTTGAAAAAATGAGCAGCACTTTTTTTACATAAGGCAAAATTTCATCTTTAGTCGACGGTTTTCTTAAAAATGCGCAATCTTATTTGAAAATTCAATAAAATTCGATAAGCACGTGCTGGTTCGTGCCGGTTAATTTGGTCTCACGATTGGTCGAGCCATTTCTTTAGAATTATCAAAGAAGTGTCAAATTTTTCGTTGACGTTATAGCCTTTCGTGAATCAAAAATTCAAAAACCATTATAAAGAAACCATCTCCAAAGAATTCGAGAATTTGATTAGTTTTTGTTTTTGTCAATGATCGGTCAAATCGTTTCTCAGTTATAGATTAAACATTTTTTTGGCGATTTTGGATCCTGTTCTTAATGAATATACTACATTTTTATTTCTTGTTCAATAATATATAATTTTATTTAACCATTTTTAAAAAATAACTAACAGGTTTAGAAAAATTGTACAAAGTAATCTGCGATAGTTTTTCATATTGCAATTCATTCATGAATTAATATATTTTCTATAGTTATGTCGATTATTTACACATGTTTAAAAAATCAAGCATCTTGCTCTAAGGCAAAGTTGCCACTTACACCAAGATTATTCACCTAATAATGATTTGGAAACAAAGCTTTCAATAGCCGCTTTCTGATTCGATCTCGCTTTCAATATGGCCGCCTTTGGCTGATTTTGACTACGGTTTTCTTTTAACTCAGCGCTGATTATACTATGCAATCAGCCACGTAATACCATCAAACAAATAAATATTAAAATATGTTCAATAAAAAAGTATATTAGAAATATACACTACAATTTAATGCTAAGGGTTATCCAATATTATTAGTCATATGTATGTAGATGTAGGTGTATAAATAAATGATTTTTTGTTTAATCATGACTAAAACATCAATTTTCCAAATTTATCACACAAAAATTCATCGTCTGCTTTTATGATTTATAGCATAAGATATACGCATTAAAAAATACAGTCTTTTAAACAAACGAAAGTATAACAAATTCAGAAATGATTATCATATAGTATCATAGTATCCGCGGTAAAAGTATAATATCACCATTGACTTTTTTACTCAAAATAATTGCTTTAATAATGTTGCCCATAATTTTTATAATCTCGTACTATATATTCATTATTTTCAGCAATAACATTACATTTTTCTTAATAATAATTCGATATACAATATTACTTATTTAGATATTTTGGAATCTCTTGAACCGAGTCAATTCTAGATGAAATACGATTGATTTTAATTTTGATTGAATGATTCAAATAACTTTCGGCTTGTTTTAACAAAATAATTGCTTTGGGAAAAAAATTGTTTCAATTTTTTTTCCAAACATATTTTTTTTGTATATCGAAAATAATTCAGATTTTAATTGTAATTCTGAATTAAGTTATAATATACTTTAAACAAAGATTTTCAACTTTGTAATTCAGATTATATGATTCTTATTTAGACAATGTTTCAGTATTTATTTATAATATTCTATTTGAAAACATTCAGTATTCCTCGGACATTTCGTTACGGTTCGGAAAGTTCCAGCAATTTGTTTATTTTTTTGTATCATATGGCAACCAATGATACTGTTGTTGGGATGTTAAATTCATAGAGCTTTTATTATGTTTCGGAAAAAGCAAATTACTCTTGCAGTTTGCTGTATGTTCGTCACTACACAAAAAGCAGCAAGCTGGTGCATTCTTCGGTTTTTTACACGCGGAAGAAAAATGGGCCTGGACATATTTCAAACAGGCACATGTGCGGTCGCAATATATTCCGTTGTGACATAAATAGGTGGCATCTGTATCACTGAATAACATCCTTGCTACGTCTCGATGGTTCGAAAAACATTTTTCCGTTCACTGATTTATTGATTTGTAATTAATCGAATTGTTTCTGAATCCACAAAGAATATGTTTAACGGTTTTAGGTTGCCCAAAATCGTCGACAAAAGTTTGATTCAACAGAAAACATATAGGGGAAAGTCCCGTAAGGCCGGACAGCACCTAATGCCGTACAATCTATTTATTACGTATTATTTAAGCGAGTATAAATCTTTTTATATCAAAATACAAGTGAAAGAGGCGCGGGGGGCACACAGGTGCAGGATCACGCGCCAAGACTCACCTGCCACGGCAGGAGCAATCCTTTGCTGACTTAGGCGCAAAATCATGGCGTCACATAAACATCAATTAAGTAATTCTAGTATATTTATGCATTTACATTTGAGTGATATGCAAAGGTAAAAGTAGTACTTGATTGCTGTCCGTAAAGTGGTAGAATATTATTAGATCTTTTAAACAATTTTAGTTGATACCACCAAATGAACAAAAATGTCTGTCCCTTAGCGCCGGACAGCAAACATATTGATATGCCTGTGAGAATTGACGTAATTTATTCTAATTATTTAATTTTGTTCTGCATGAGTGCTAACGGTCTCTACATACCCCATTTTTCGTATTTTCTAGTCAAAGAATAAAAATCTTATGACAAATGCTACAGCTGAGAGCATCGGCGTGGCCCAAAACGGTGGATAAATAGTGATTTTATTTGCAATATCAAAGAGTATTCGTCAAACACACATGTGCAGACATTCCAGAGTGTGAAAATGGCTACATATGTGTTCAATGCAGGTTATTTTGCAACGTCCGGTACTAGGTGCCACTTTCTAAAATTATATTTTGTGTTACCAATGTTTGATTGATAGTATTAATTATTTTGTAGCAAAAGTAGCGTTTTTGTTAATTCAGTTTGATTTCTAACTTTTGTTATCTAACATAAGCCATAATTTACTAAACATTTCGTAAAATATTTTTTGATTTACTTATAGATAACCTTAGGTGTCCGGCACTCGGGTACTTCCCCTTATACACACATACATCCATTTTTCCTAAGTTATGCTAAAATGTTCAGTTGATCTTGAAACGTAAAAATTTTTCATTGATTCTATTATTACAACTTACCTCACGCGAAATAATATAAATAAATTATTTATAAAATTATTGATTTCTTAGCTTAAACACACAGATTTGAAACAAAAACCAAGCAATTCAGAGTTGCTTTCGTTGAATTAATAATTTACAAAACTTTTTCTCTATTTAAAATATAAATGCTCGAGAAAAAGGATTAAATATACATATATACAACTAAGTTCTATATTAATGTATGAACTATAAAAAAAACGTTAAACGGTAAAAAATATTTTCATCCAATTAGTTATAATTAATTAGTTCTCACCTGGCTGCAAAATGCAAAGGGCTCTCATTATTATTATTTTTCAAATTGATACAAGCCCCTAGACTTATCAAATTCTCCAATGATCTTATATGTCCTTCTCTGCTCGCGTAGTGTAAAGGAGAACATCCCGAATGATCTTTTTCGTTTAGTAAGTTCGTTAGTTTTTCTTGAGACTGGACCTAAGAAAAAATTACTAAATAAATAAAATTATATATTATTCTATATTTTGCTATATTATTATAAAGTATTTTTAAATTACTTAATACTATTTATGCAAAACTAATCATTTAAAACAAACCTATCGGTATATCGTATTATATATTATTATTATTATTATTTTATTCAATGCTGAACAAATTTTCTGAACTTGCAATTAAAAATTAATACTACTTACTCTATTCAAAATTGTCTACATATGTTATATACTTAGATAATAAATAGATACTTGTTGTTAGATACTTTAATTACTTCAGGCATTTATTTAGTAGATACTTACTTTAGATGCTAATATGTGCAAGTTGCTTTACAGGCAAGGTAAGATGCTCGAATATTTGAAATAATCAATAAATTTCCTTGCCATTTGGAAAAACATTATTTACGCGTATATTAAAAAAAATCGTCAACAAATTTTGTAGGTGATATAACAGTAATGAACAAATTTTGTAGGTGATAGTTTTCACTTAAATTTTCAAAGTTCTTAAATAGCATTACGATGATATTTTTCAAAAATAAGTTTTAATAAAACTATTCCAAGTAAATGATCTATGTATCTTATTTTCTACGAGAAAAGCTACATAATTTGTTTTTCGATATTTGATACTATTTTACAAAATATTTTTAATTTAAGTGTATAAATTCTTCTATTAAACATAGCGCCGCGCGTTTTCAAAAATAACATAAAGCAAAGATCATTGAAGCATGCATATAAGCAATAGACATTTGCATATAAATAAGTACGAATTATTAGTTATATTGAACTCTAAATTAAAAAAAAATATATAAAATGTTTTAACGACAAAAACTCGTATTGATTAGGTTTTTGCTTCAATCGGACCTTTTTCTTTCTGATAATCTTACATTACATTTGAAACAGTCACGAAAGTGTTATGAAAAGCATTTGGGTAAATCGAGCTGATTTGTGATAGATCGATATCCACATTTGTATTTAATGCATATAATTTAAAAATAATTTCTTAGGTTCAGTAATAGAAAATTTGACTGTCGTGTTCCCCAAAGTTTTCAAAATTGTATAAAGTTGACATACTAATTTAGAAATGAAGATGCTAAATCTATTAGAAATTATTAAAATAGAAATAAACTAATTTAAGAACAAAAATGTTAAATCTATCAGAAATTATTTAAAAATTAGAAATTATTGTTAGTTTTTATTGATTAAAACGATTATAGTTACATATGTATATCGTAAAGTTTATGTAACTTTCCTTAAGGCAAAATACTACTTCCATCTAGTCAACTTTTTGTAGGATAAATTATAGTAAACTTTGTATAATTCATGGAATTTGTATAATTCATAATATTCAAGTGTGCGATTCTCAATTGTGTGGCCAAGTTGTTTTCCGGAAAGCCAAAAAAAAAAATTTAATTTTTTTGTTCATTAGCAATATTTTTTTTAAATATCGAAAATAGTGCGGACTTTGATTTTAACTCTAGCTAAAATTCTAAAGCTCAGTTTGAAGTTTCAATTCAGTTCATATATTTCTTAAAAATATAAGACACGATCCTTCATTGTGATCTCTTCATTAACATTTTATGCAAACTTATATAAACATTATGGTCAAATTTATAAACTTTTTTTATATATAAAATACCAATAATAAAAACTTCAGTGCTCATGATAATATTTTTGAAATTATTTAATATTCTTCGAATAATTTATTAAGGCACGAGAAGTTCCAGCAATTTGCCTTGAGGCACGATGACATACACCACTAGTTTATTTTATATATTAAACTATTCAGAATGACTACACGTTAATAATGCATAAACCAGATTGATGGCAACAATTAAAATAGTCATAAGTACTTGCCTTATTGACTTCTGCAGCAAAATCTTGCAAGCTTCCCCCATTCATGACAACGTGATGTAAAATATTACGATGATTTGAATCCTTTAAATTAATATTTGCGCCAAGTCTAATGAGGGTATGAACCTGAAAAAAATTACATATTATTACCATAGTGATTAAATAAGACATATCAATGTATAAGAAGTGCAAAGGAGGTTATACAATTTAAAAATGTCTATCTTATAGAAAAAATGGTCTTGAAAGAAAACGTATCTTATGACACTTAGGAGAGCTAGGGGTTTTTTGTAACAGTTTGTTTAAATCCTAAAATTCACTGATTATTTTTTTTTATTTAATTCGCCGAAATAAAGATAGATAGACGCTGTAACTTTTCTTCGATTTAGTCAACTAGAACTAGAACTTTATTATTTCACAATTAATCATTTTCTAGAAAAAATTCTTACCGGAGCAAGTATTAACAATAAAAAAACCACATTAATTCTTCTAATCATTTACTTATCTATGTCTTTAATCATATATTTCTTGTTTGTTTTTGATAAATTTCATAAATTCATAAAGTAATTATTTTCCCTGTAACACATCCTACATGTGCCCACAACTTACAAATGATACACTTCGCCCAATCTACATATTTTGTGTATAAAAATCACCACAAACTAGAAAAAAACATTCTTTTGATTGAGTTTCTCAACTTATTTGTGAAACTTATATTCCAGAAGCATTCATCAATACTGTAGATTTTTTCGTGTCTGCTAATTGAACTAGATTTTCTTGCTACTGTCTTTGTCCATCAAGAGTAAATCTTTGATACAAAATAAGTTTTTTTGGCGTCGCAGCAATTTGAAAAAGGCTCGTTCACGATTTCGATATGAATTATAATTCTCGTAGTGCAGGAATCAAAAGCAGTTACTTACATTATAAAATGAAACATATTGTAATGTGTTACAACTAGCCTCAAAAATTTTGTTACAACAAGCCCCAATATATTTTGACAACTTACCCCGGGTGTGATTTTCAATCAAGATAACAATTTAAATAATTTATAATCACAATATCAACTATTGATAAATTTAAAACAATTTAAGATATATGTGTAAAATTTAAAATCAGTACTCTATCGACTTTCCTCTGTATATCTAAATTAAGTGATTTGTGAGATAATCTACTTATCAGCTTTATATTAGAATTTCTGATTGTTGTCTCTGTAATCCCTTGATTCGTGTTTTATTGGGGCATACCCAGAGCTCTACTCCATAGGTCCAAATAGGTTTTATGGAAGCTTTGTAAATATAACTTTATTACTCAGGGATAGCTTGGAGCATCGTCCTATTAGCCAGAACTAGTATGTTGTATCCACTTTAGTTTTTGGTCCAAATAAATACCAAGGTATTTGATGGTGAAAACTTTGGGTATAATCATATAATTCATGTTGGCTGGAGGACATTAACCCTTTTTCAGCATGAAGGTTATATAGCTTGACTTGTTTTCATTAATATTTATTCTCTATTTATTGGATCAAAGCCCAATTGCATGTAGATGTTCTTGTAGTATTTTGCTGGCTTCAATAGGATTAGAGTCAGTAGCCGTTATAACAGTGTCGTCAGCAAAAGTTCCTATAAGGGTGTCCTTGCACCTTAGAATATTATGAGTATAAATAATATACAAGATAGGCCCTAGAGCTTTGCCCTGGTGAACCCCGGCTTCAATTTTGCAAAATGTGGATACCTGCTCGCCTACTTTGGTCCGAAAAGTTCTGTCCGATAAATAGGATTTAAAGAATTTGTAATAATCTGGCATAGCTTTGTTGATTATAATTAGGAGACCATGATGCCATCTATCGAATAGTTGGCTCACATCAGGGAGTGCTTCGGTGCAGTAATTTCCTTTTTCAAACTATTTGTAAATTTTGCTAATCACACGGTGGCACTGTTGGATCGTTGAGTGCATAGGGCAAAATCCAAACTGCGGTGTAGGATATAACCCATATTTATTCGAGATATCTGACAAAATATATTTTCAAATATGGCAACGGTATACAGAAGACTTATTGGTCTGTGCGAATCTGGAAACTCTAATAATTAATATATTCTCCGATTGCTTGAGCAATGTAGGCCAATACTTTAGTCTATAGAAGGCGTTGATAATACATGTTAGTAATACGTGTCCTTTTTTGGCAGCTTTTACAGCCTTTTAGGTGTTATTAGATCGGCAGGAGTTTTTCTATTTTCCAGGTGTGAGAGAATACTTAAACTGGAGTGAAACTTGGAATACATATTTCTGCGCTAAAGTCTGTTGGACTTCTTGGTTATACATAACAGTATTATTGTCCGTAGAAGGATTTGGCTGAAAAACAGACTCCAAGTGATTTTTAGTAGGCTGTTAATAAGTGCTGTTTTTTAGTAGTTTTCACAACATGTCAGATTGAATTGTCTTTTCTACTGAGATTGGTGACGTATTGGTCAAAACACGAGTTATTGTGTTCAAGAAATTTTCTTCTCAACTTATTCAGGTTGTTAAAAGAAATTTTATCCTTCGGATCATGGTATTTTTGCCAAAGACGTCGAACTTTGCGTTTTTTGGCAACTTATTTTTTTATTTTGGATACTAATAGTTAATGGTCCTTTGATTTTGATGGTGGTGTTAAAAGTTTTGCTGCGTCCTGCAATACATGTATTAAATTATTTAAAGAGTCATCAATGTCGTACAGTGATTTCAAGAAAATCTTCAAATCCAATTATTTGGGAATATTATTTCTGAAACGTTCCCATAGGAAAATCTTAAAATATATTGTTGTGCCTGTCCGTTCAGCAGTGGAACTAAGCGGCACGCTGTTCCCTTACAGCGGCGGCATTCTGCGGAAAGCACTCTCGTAGAAAAAGGGTTAACTTTGTTCTCGTTTACATATTTTACTGCTGTGCATATTGCTATATTCAGCTGGCAATATGGATGTAAAATTAGGAATACTCATTTTTCGTTATATTTGTCTTTTGGGATGTGCATGCCGCATCCAGTTTCCTCTAATGTTTTTGAGCCATCTATGTAAATGTGTAAGTGACCCAGCCAATTTGAGATAATATTATTTTCCTGGTATTGAATATTTTTGTGGTATTTGCTGTATTTGCGTCAATTTCTAAAACGATAAATGGTATGGTAAAATCGTTTGTCGCTAAGTGTGTGTAATATGGATTTTTTTGTTTGTTGTAACATTCTCTTTGTGGTGTTTGAGTGTTTATTGTATAACTTATGGTTTTCGCTTATGAAAAATTATTGAGTATGTGCTTGTTTTCAATGTAGGTACCACTCAAATCTTGATTCTATCATGCGTTCGAATGTCTTCGCAATGCGTCGGATTGCATGTTTCTGTCAGCTTCAATTATATAATTATACAATGATTATTTTTTTCCATTTTTTAGGGATCCAGTTGATTGTTATAATATAATTAAAAAAATAAAAAGCCTTGCTATGAAAGTAGTAAAAATATTCTTAATAATATTATAGAAGATCTTTTTGTTTCTTGAGAGCTTTTCTCAATTCATTTATGCTAAAAAGTGAGATCAGCTCTATTTTTTGTTAGTATTCCTAATTAGCACATCTTGTTTAATGCAAACATAATCAGGCGTAATATTTTATAACACTTTGTGTTCACATTCTTCCATAAACTTTTGATTTATTTTTCTATTGATAATTTTGCTGTTGAATATTTTGATGTGATTGCGTTTTTGTTATTATGCTTGTATATTCAATCTATTTTAGTCTTTGCCTCCTTTTAGAAAATTTATTCTGCGGGTTTAATTTTTGGTACAGAATAAAATTTTCGTAATTGTATTTCTCACCATGCGGCATGCTTGAATATTGTGCTGTACGCTTTCCTTCATTAAAAGTTCTACTTTAGATAGAGAAATCTTCCAGATCATTATGAATATACTCTTTTGCTTAGATACAGTACTATTGAGAAAGAGGATTAAAAATGTGATCAAAAAAGTTGACAAACCAATTGTATTTATCCTGTTTATTTCTGGTCCATGTGCTGTCTGTATTCTTTATAGCTATTACGGCAAAAAGTGGTTGTTTAAAATTATTGATAACTGTTCAAAGTAATAAGTTTGTGTAAGCTAATAGATTTTTAGTTAGTTTTTATAGATAATTTTTGAGTTTTTTGAATTTTGATTTGACCATTGGTGATTTTGTGAGTTGCACTACTTGCAAAGTCTTCTTTTAAATGCCATTTTTAACTTCCCGAAGGAGAAGTTTATGTTTTCATCAAAAAAATTATTTGCTAATTTTATGTTTTTTGACGTTTCAAGCCATTCTGAATCAAATGAGCCCAAATCTGGAAAAAGTATGTGTGTGTGTGTGTGTGAACAGATTTTTTGCCGTAAATCGATCGACCGACTGGACCGATTTCAAAAATTTAAAAGCCATTCGATGTATTTCGTTTGTGTTTTAGCTAAAGGTAGATTTTTAGCTAAAACTAATCAGTATCAGTGCCAACTAATATTTTTCGAACAGTTTTTGATCTTTTAAAATCGATTCGGTAGTATATGAGCTTAAATGTGGACGAAAATTTTAACACTTTTTTTCTAATTATAAAGAAACGGCTCGGCAGATCGTCATACAAAACTGAGAAACGGTAATCCTCATTGAGATGCATAAAATGGCAACTAATTTTCTAAAATCGGTTCAGGCGTTTTTGAGCAAACGTCGATGAGAGGTCTAACGATACTAATTTTTGCAAACTTTGACGAATTTTTAAAATTAAACGACTTGTCGTAGGACCGTAATATTTTAGTATGATCTATAAGACTAAGGTATCTACCGTCAAAAAAAAAATAACATTGAAATTTTTTTTAATAGTTTATTACAAGAAAACGGCCTGGTCGATCTTTACCAAAAACTAATCAGTATCTTTCCCAACCAATATCTTTCGAACGGTTTTTAAATTTTTAAAATCGATTCGGAATTGCGGGCTAAAACGTGGACAACAAATTTTTCACTTTTTTGCTATTTACAAAGAAATGGCTTGGCTATTTTTTTGTAAAAAAAAAATTGATCGCAAAAAATTGATCGAGAAAAATTCCTCATCGAGATACATCGAATAGCTTTTAAATTTTTGAAATCGGACCAACCGTTTTTTAGAAAACGTCGATTTACGGCAAAAAATCTGTTCACACACAAATACACACACACATAATTTTTCCAAATTTGGTCTCATTCGATTCAGAATGGCTGAAACGTCGACAAAACATAAAATTAGCGACTCGGATTTTTTGATGAAAACACAAACTTATCTTTTCGGAAGTTAAAAATATAGTCAAGAGCCTAACGTTTGCATTTGTGTACAATGCAAAGCAGACAGTGTCAAAGATATTGGTACATAGTAGTGATGTGCCAAGTCGAATCAAGTGATTCGAATCATTCGAATCAAGCCTTTAACGACTTGATTCGAATCAGATTTTACTTGATTCGAATCAACTCGTATCAAGCCGCGAAATATTTACTGTGTGCATGTATAAACACAAATTTTCATAAATATAAAAAAATGTTTTAATTTAATTCAATATTATAATAATATAAATAATAATAATAATAAATATAAAAAATAATAATAATAAATATAAAAAATAAATCTTGAATTAAATCATGCGAGCCACCCGGCTTTAATACGCTTAAATGTATCACCCGGCTCCAATTTATATGACTTGAACCGCATTCATTGTCTTCAAGTCGATATGAATTCATCCGAGTTCCTATGACTCAAACCGACTTATTTTGACTTCAAGTCGATATGAATTGATTCGAGTTCCTATGACTCAAACCAACTCATCCCGACTTCAAGTCGATATGAATTGATTCGAGTTCCTATGACTCAAACCGACTCATCCCGACTTCAAGTCGATATGAATTCATCCGAGTTCATATGACTCAAACTGAATCATACCGACTTGAGTTCGAAACATGTGTCCGTGTTTTAGCGTATCGACTTATCGAGATGCGTGCGTATGGGTCTTGGATGTTTGTTTATTTTTGACTAAGCGCTGAGAGCAAATTTGTTCATGAAATATCAAAAACTCATTTAGATAATAAATACGCGATTTAGATTTTAATTATTATCAAAATAAACTACATAACGAGTTTTATACACATACAAAATTATCATATTTTAATTATGCAAGTAATGGCAAATTCACACAAATGAAATAATATCAATCTTTACAGTAGTGTATTGAATTTTAAGTCATTCGTAAGACGTTAGATTCAGCCCCCTGTTTAGATTAGATCTAAACAATCAATAATATACACATGCATTCGTTCAACGTAAGATTAAGAATATTGTTTTACATGCTTTAGTGATAGAGAAGTGATTGGTTATATTTTACTGTAAATTCACTTGAAATATTAGTTATATTTGTAGCTAGTTTATTATTATATATATAATATAAATGTATTCATCTCTGCACTTTTTGGAATTTGGAAAATGATATTATTTCTTCTCTTAAATTATAATTGTTCATATATGAATTTGATTCGAATTGATTCGAATCATGATTCGAATCAGGTTTTTTTCTGATTCGAATCACTCGAATCAGGAAATTTTCGAGTCGGCACATCACTAGTACATAGACAAAAAAAAAACTCTCAAGATAATTAATCAATACATTTTATTAGCTAAACTATATTAAATGTTAGAAGTCCGAACGAAGACGATATTGATTAACATCGAGTTATTTGAGATTAAGCTAAGCTTTATACTTTAGTCATAAATACTAAAAATTTATCCTGTTATACTAAGTGCTCTGAAGTCTCTAAAATAATTTTATTATTTAAACGAATACATATATTATTGATATTTACTGTTTTCCATCCGGCTCTAGAAGCAGCTAAAAGCAAAGGCGATCTTCCTTCTTTGTCCAAAGGATTTATATCCGATCCTTCCTTGATTAAATAATGCACAATTTCTGGATGATCAAACATTGACGCGCAATGCAGTGGGGTCATCTTTTGGACGTCACAAGATCGAAGACTAGAAAATTTTTCTTGAGGCTGCATGGCAAACATTAGTTTCACGATATCTGAAAAAAAAAATGTAAATTGCAATATTATAGCTGGTTAAAACTTCTTGTTCTATAAAAAAAAGTGATAAAAAATTAAACAACATATTTATAACTAACAAAAGGTAAGTGAATATACTATGGGTACATGGCATCGTGCCTTAAAACAAATTGCTGAAACTTCCCATACTGAAAACTACCTTTTTCAAAGCAATCGCACTGCATAGCTGTTTTAGGGTCGAAATTGCAACGCGCGGAAGCGCCGCGTAGTCGTCCAACGTGTAAACATTGGTTCGGAACCCATATAAATGTACTTAAAATTTGTATTTATTAATATAATCTTTATAAAATATGTGCTAATATGATGTACATATGTCTAATGATCATTCTTGACAGCCAAATTGTTGGCATTGCTTTTTTAACTTCCCGTAGGGTAAGTTATTGTAATCGTCCAAAAATCGAAATTGAGATTATTTACATATCTTCACGTTTTGTAGGCTTCTGAACATTTTGGCATACCTCAGGAAAATTGGATGGTTGCATGTGTGTGTATGTATGTAGATACGCACACACACACATCCAATTTTTCTGAAGTATGCCAAAATGTTCAGAAACCTTCAAAACGTCGAGAAATGCAAAAATTTTCATTTTTGATTTTCGGCCAATTACTATAACTATCCTACGGTAGTATAGGATGTTTTTTAAATTGTTTACATCGGATGCTCCGTTATCTCAAAAGCTGAACATTTTTACATTTTTGGCACTCTGGCACTTTGCCGCATATCTTCGGAACGGTAAGACTTGTCATTGCTACAAACGAATCAGAACGTCTCCTTATCAGTAGAAATCGAATGCTTTTTGAATTATTCAAATCCGTGTTCTCGAAATCGCCGACGAACAATTGTATTCGTACTTATGTAATTACATACATAAAATAATTTGCGTTTTAAAGAATTCTGAACTGTAGAAAAGGCGCATGCATGTTTGGATACAAATTTTCAACGGCAACTTTGATTGATATAATGATTAAAAAATAGTTTGCAAAATAACAATATAAAACAATCATAACATGACAATCAAATAACGTTAAAATCAACTGAAAAACTAGTGGGGTGCATGGCATCATGCCTTAAAGCAAATTGCTAGAATTTCCCGTACCGTAACAAAATGTTCGAGGAATATTAAATATTTTCAAAAAGATTATTATAAATACTGTAACATTGTCTAATATTTATAAAAATTATATAAACTGATGGACCGATTCTGCGCATAACAGAGAAATGTTACGGGATGGCTATGTTACTCTCCGACTCCCCATACATTATGCGAATTAATCATACTGAATGCTGTCAAAATATCATGTATTTGCTGTTCATTCCGGCGTTTTAAACATAAACTGCAACGTCACTCGTATCTTACCTAAGAGGAATCAGAAACACACACTTATCTAACATCGTTTTTTTGACATTTGTGCGGCTTTTAGGTTATGTTTTGTATGAGAAAACCTGAGAAATTCGCCTGACTGAACACCAACCGCATAACTTTTGTCTATATTACTATGGAAAATTCTTCATAACATGAACTTATCATAACATTGCGGCAGAATCGGTCCCTGAATTGCAAAGTTGAAATTATTTGTTTAAAGTATATTAGAACTTTAGCCAGAATTAAAATTAAAATCTGAATTATTTTCAATAAAAAAATTTTTTTTTGAAAAACAAATATTGATAAAAAAAATTTTGAAACAAAGTCAAAAGCAATTATTTTGTTGAAACAAGAAGAAAGTTCTTTGAATCATTGCTAAAAGCTAATCACCTTTTCTCCCAATCATTACAAATTGAATGTTTTTTAGATCAATTCAAATCGGATACTCTGTTCTCTCAAAAACTCGTTTTCTATTTTCTGCACTTTTTGCTCCGTATCTCCGTAACGGCTGGACCTGCCTTTGCCAAAAACTAATCTCTCTATCAATAGGAATCGAACGTTTTCTGGACCATTCAAATCGGTCGATCCAGCGCCCGAAAACGTGAACGAAAAAATACGGACACACAAAACACACACACATATTCATTTTTTCTAAAGTATGACAAAATATTCAGAAATCTTTGAAACGTAATGATATATAAAAATTTTCATTTTCGATTTTTTTGCGATTACTATAACTTGCCCTACGAAAAATTAATTGGTTACTTAAGTTACTTAATTGGTAAGGCAGAGAATTTTTTAATTTTATATAACTACAAAAATAATCTGAATGGTTGAACCAATTACATCGGTTCGTAATTTAAATTCGCTGTATCTACAGTTTATAATATAATCAAAATATTTAAGTTCTCAAGGTTAGAACTACATACCAGAGTAGCAAAATCCCGAATATAACGAAAGTTGAAAGAAATAAAAAAGTTAAATCATAAAATCAGTTAAAATGTCTAACATCCAAATTTACACTTTTCTCAACATCTCAAATTAATATTTTCATATAACATTCATATTTGTATATGATTATTATATGAATACTTATTAATTGGTGATCATTGCTTAAGCCATTTGACTAAAGTTTATTTATTTCTATTTATTTGCATTTATTTATACGCAATAATATATATTTTTTACCTATGGCTCCTTGCGCACAAGCTAGATGAACAGGAGTAGACAGGTCGTGTTGTTGTCTCGAAATTTTGGCTCCAAATTTCAAACAAAGCTCCACCGCTCTGATGTCTCCACCGTGGACTGCGGAATGTAATGGCACATTTCCTTCCGAATCATACAACGTAATTAGATCTTCTCTGGAACAACCTCGTGATTCGCCCCACTGAAAAATAAAAAAAGAATAATAATATTGAAAAGTTAAAATGAACTAAAATATAAAAATTTGACTAGTTTCGGTAATTTTTTGAGCTACTATAATTTAAGTTTAATATCAATTTTATTTAAAAAAAAGCTAAGTGTATTGTAGAAAACCGACTGCCGGTAATTTAGTTGCTCCAAATTAATGCTTTAAATATTGTATAATAGTATACATAAATATCAGAATTTTTTTTCGAAATTGTTAACTTACCTGAAAAAAAACTTCCATGGTTTTGGAAGATGCATTTTTAGCGGCCTCGTGTATAGGATAGTAACCATTGTTACACGGTTTCTTAGGACAAGCATCAAACTGCGTTATCTACAATAGAAAAAGTACATGTTAAACTATACGTGTATTACTAAATGTATAAATATACTAAACGTCTCAATATGATATATCAGAAATTATATTTAATGTGATACATTTTTTAAATGCGCCGGTTGCATTCTGCTATTTGTATAAGAGTAATGTATAACATACCAAACAAATTTACAGTTAATAAAAAAATGGGCTTCAATTTTCAACTTATATTTCACTGAATTAAGTAAATAAGTTTGTTACCTTTAAAATGTGCTATAATAACTTATTTGTTATACGCCTATAATAGAAAAAGCCTTACGATGAAAAAATAAATAAACACAATTATCTGCATATAGATTGTATCTTTTTAAGTAATATGGGTCAACCCTTATTTTTGGCTCAATGCACGGGACATCAGAATTCATTTTAGAGGTATGGTTTCTTCAGCAAAATATCTTATTTTGATCCTTAGAATCCGCAAATCATATGTGTCTAAGTGACCTTCTAATCGACCTGCGGTAATAAATATATATATATATATATATATATATATATATATAAATATATATATATATATGTGTATATATATCGTATACTAGCAAACCCGACGGATTCCGTTTCGTCACCAGATGGTTTCGTGAGAAAGATGAAGACATTTTCTGTTTGTTTCATATTTGAAAAGGAAAAATTTGATTTCATTATACAACAGTAATGAATTTATTTTGATTACAAATATAAAGTGTTTTTTAGTTGAACTTCTCTAAGTAAATGAAAGTGATTCCGCAAATTATCCGTTTCATTGAAGTGCTCTTTGGTAAACCACATTTTGTTTTTTGGTCTCACGTTAACAAAAACAAAGCGGATGGTTTTCCAACCCGTGAACAGACAACCTATAACTGTGGAAAGCAATGATTTTTTAAATAATCTATTTGAAATTTATCCCGCAAACAGTAAGCGATTGGCTTTGGGACTTGTTATTGCGAACGCAAGGCGAACTAGAAATTGCAATCGTTTGAAGTCAAATGGAAGACCAAGAAACGGAATCATTGGTATGTCACCAAATCGCCAGCAATTTTTGATTTAATGGTGAAATTCAGTGCGTGTACATCATTATTCTTTGCGGCAAGAATTGCTCGTTGACTTAACCAAGCATAATTCTGATAATTCTCACTAATGTCATTACTCGACTTTTTAATTACGGTGCGTAAAGTTCCAGCAGCTTGCATAGCAATTTCTCAGCTATAAACCTTACGGAGCCCGAGACCTTTCCAACAAATGCAAAATTGTCGAAATCGGTTCGTACATTCTGGAGTTATTTCGTCAGGCAGGAAAACCCGACTTATTTATATATATATATATATATATATATATATATATATAGAAAATAATCTATTTGAAATTATTTAAAACAATTATTGATTATTTTTATCACTCGAATTTTGAATTACGGTGCGTGAAGTTCCAGCAATTTGCATTAGGGCACGATGCCATGCACATCTAATTTTCTTAGCTATGAACCTTGCGGAGCCCGAGACCTTTCCAACGAATGCAAAATTGTCAAAATCGATTCATGCGTTCTGGAGTTATTTCGTCAGGAAGGAAAACCCGACTTATTTTTATATATATAGAAGATATCAGTGTTTTTGCTAGAACTTAATATTTGTATATTTAATAGAAATGTAATATTAACTACAGAAATTAGAACAATTCGTATTCCGCCCGAAGCTGCTGAGGGGTTTCCATCACTTAGTATAAAAATGTACATTAAATTTTTTGGGTGCAGCAATTATAAACGCAAAAATTAATCTCATATGAACCCTTAACGAACGAATACCGCCATACTCACGATATTGTAAATATTCTAAAATAATCTAATGCCATAATACAGAAAGCATGACGTAACAGGAGAGTTTTGGGCTTTTCTTCCTATAATTTTCAATATGAGTACAATGCAGTTAGAAAATAAATTTGAATGTTGGTCAACAAGCAATATAACACAAATTCTATTCTATTCAAATCCGATAATAAAAAGATGTTAATTATGCAACTTGTCTCGCTTTGTAAATGAAACACCTAATTTCTTAAAAATCCATCGACCTACTGGGGATAGTTTTAGGTATTTCACTATTTCGTTAAGGGTTAATAGAAATAAATAGCAGAAAAAATACTTTACCAAAATTCTAGCGCACTCTTCATGATCATAAATAGCTGCCAAGTGCAATGCGGTTCGCCCGTGTTCTCCACCTTTCTGAATGTCGATTTTAGTCTTGTGTTTAGCCATGACTCGGAGGGCTTCTACTTTATTCAACTCGGTCACCATATGTACGGGAGCCTGGTTCTTGTCGTTGAGGATTCCTGTATCGACTCCTCTGAAATTCAAGTTTAAATTATATACAGAATTATTTTTTAAGTTAAAAAAAGAACTAAATGTATAAAAAATGGCAGTTTTTAAGTGAACTAAGCATCCGATTTGATTGATGCAAAAAACTTTTTGCTTGTGTTGACAAAACAATTGCTTTTAGAAAAAAAAATAAATTTTTTTTTCTTAAAAAGTTTTGAAGTAAAACTTTTTTAAGCGCGACTAGGGTGTAAATCCGTATAAATGCAACGGAAGTGCGTTACGGTATAGTCGAGCGCCAGTATGTGAATAGAAATATGTCGTTGTATGACATATCGGTATCAACAAGAAAATCGGTATAGATAAAAAAACATTTTAAAGTTATATCTTAGTACAAATCCTGATTTAATGAAAAATGCCTGAATCAGAAGAATATTTTACCTTATTCCTTGAAAATATTAAAACAAATTTTAATTTATTATGAACAAAATTTATTGATTAGAAATTATTTCTATATTATTCGTAGTTTCTATAAATATTTGAAGTTATTAAAATAAAAAATTAAAATAGATATTACAGCTGTTCAAAGAATAAGATTATATCGCCAGCGTAAAAGTGAAAAAAAATACAAGCAATCAATGAATGTATGCTAATTTTAATTACATGAAGTTCTTCAAACACAACTATCTGATGAGTGAAGTTAAGGAAACAAAATTTGTTTAGGCGTTGTTTAACATAATCCACTGTGTGAACGAATATTTTAGAATTTATTAATCAGCAATTACTTCATTTCTCTAATAAAGGCTCATTTCTAAATGCTAATTACAATGACAAACCGAGCATGTCATATTTGAAGTATGATTTTAATTACTCTAATTACTAAATATTGTTTTTGAATATTATACATATTTTTAATGCTATTATAAATATACTAGCAAACCCGACGAACTCCGTTTCGCCACCAGATGGTTTCGTGAGAAAGATGAAGAAATTTTTTGTTTGTTTTATATTTTAAAAGGAAAAATTTGATTTTATCATACAATAGTAACGAATTTATTTTGATTACAAAAATGAAGTGTTTTTTAGTTGAACTTCTCTAAGTAAATGAAAGTGAATCCGTTTAGGCAAATTATCCGTTTCATGGAAGTGATCTTTGGTAAACCACATTTTTTGTTTTTGGTCTGACGTTAATACAAACAAAGCGGATGGTTTTCCAACTCGTGAACAGGCAACGTATAACTGCCCATGTGAAAAACAATGATTTTCTAAATCATCTATTTGAAATTTATCCCGCAAACACTAAGCGATTGGTCTTGCGACATGTTATTGCGAACGCAAGGCGAACTGGATATTGCAATCGTTTGAAGTCAAACGGAAGACCAGTCAGAATCATTGGTATGTCACCAAATCGTCAGCAATTTTTTATTGAATGGTGAAATTCAGGGCGTGTACATCATTATTCTTTGCGGCAAGAATTGCTCGTTGACTTAACCAAGCATAATTCTGATAATTCTCAATAATGTCATTACTCGAATTTTTAATTACGGTGCGTAAAGTTCCAGCAGCTTGCATTAAGGCACGATGCCATGCACAACCAATTTCCTTAGCTATAAACCTTGCGGAGCCCGAGACCTTTCCAACTAATGCAAAATTGTCGAAATCGGTTCGTGCGTTCTGGAGTTATTTCGTCAGGAAGGAAAATTCGACTTATTTTTATATATATAGAAGATAATCTATTTGAAATGATTTAAAACAGTTATTGATTATTTTTATTGCTCGAATTTTTAATTACGGTGCGTGAAGTTCCAGCAGCTTGCATTAAGGCACGATGCCATGCACAACTAATTTTCTTAGCTATAAACCTTGCGGAGCCCGAGACCTTTCCAGCGAATGCAAAATTGTCGAAATCGGTTCATGCGTTCTGGAGTTATTTCGTCAGGAAGGAAAACCCGACTTATTTTTATATATATAGAAGATAATTTATAATTTATCATTATATGAATGTGTATAATGTTTGACACTAATAAATGTGTGCATCACAAGTGTTACCATATAACTAATAAACATTATTCAAAATTGTTTAATGATTTATTATTTAGTTATTATTGTTACTTAACTTAAATTTGCTACTTTGTACAGTGACAAATAAGTTTTACTGTAATCGCGTGTTATTCTTACGCGCACTCTTTCTTGCATATTGAAAATAATTCAGATCTTAATTTTAATTCTGACTAAAGTTCTAAAGCTCTCTTTAAAGCTCACTATATATACTTTATATAAATAATTTTAACTTTCAGTTACAGTTTATATAATGTCTATAAATATTAGACAATTTTACAGTATTTATAATAATCTATTTGAAAACATTTAATATTCCTCAAGATTTCGTTACGGTACGGAAAGTTCCAGTAATTTGCCTTAAGGCACGATGCCGTATATCACTAGTTTGATTTGTGATTTCAATAATCATTTGAATTTTAGCGGACAGATTATGCTCCCGCGGATCATTTTAAATCCTCTTTGTATGAATAAATATAATTCCGGCTCTTTTTTTAATACATAATAATTATCTTTTATTCTGAAGTAATATCGAATACGTCAAGTATCAAAAATCAGAATACGTCAAGTTAGCCGACTGAAATAACAAAAACCATTAAATCAAGGACCTGAAAAAAGAAATTAAGAATACCATATCTTGGACAGTAATAAAAATAATAAAACAGAAGAAAGAGAAATGCAATTAAAACACGTTACATTACTGGCTGAAAATGAAAAGAAACAATACAATATGAGACAAAAAAAAATGCGGGGACATAGAGTGAATCATCTATAGTTTAAAATGCAATTTACAGACCATTTGTAATTATTTAAACCGGAATAACAAATCAGGTACTGGTAATAATAATAAAATAGAAGCAGTAAAGCGAATGACTATAATTTAGGCAAAAATCGTAAAATATCGACGGTTTCTTTCTCGTCATAGATTTAACTTTCTTTTCGAGATCTTTTTTTGATAGGTTTTATTGGATTGTACATGCAGAAAATGGTGGTTCTGACCATTTGCCATTTGCCAATTTTACTAAATATGCAACTCAATTTTATTACGAAAATGGAGTGAGTTTCTGCCATGTTTTAGAGCAGAGGTGGGGAACCTTTTTGTCATTAGAGGCCGCACTTGAATTGGGCAGCAATGAAAGAGGCCGCATAAGCTGATTGATCTAAAAAAGTGACTTTCGTGAAATTAATAACTATTATTTTACGTGTATGTGTGTGTGTGAGTGTGAACAGATTTTTTGCCGTTAATCGACGTTTTCTCCAAAACGGATGGACCGATTTCAAAAATCGGTCAAAGCCATTCGATGTATCTCGAGGCGGACTAGCGTTTCTGAGTTTCGTGCGACGACCGGCTGGGCCGTTTCTTTCTAAATTGCAGAAAAGTGAAAAATTTTTCGTCCACGTTTTAGCCCGCAATTCTGAATCGATTTTGAAAATTCAAAAACCGTTCGATAGATATTGGTTGGGAATCGTGCTGATTAGTTTTTGGTAAAGATCGGCCGGGCCGTTTTCTTGTAATAAAGTTTAAAAAAAAAAATCGACGATTTTTATTATTATTTTTTTGACGATAGATACCATAGTCTTCTAGATCATACTAAAATATTACGGCCCCACGACAACTCGTTTTGCTTTAAAAATTCGTCAAAGTTTGCAAAAATTAGTATGGTCTTTTTGGCATTTGTCTAAATTAGAACTTCCATCGAGGTTTGCTCAAAAACGCCTAAACCGATTTCAGAAATTTAAAAACCATTTGATGTATCTCGATGAGGATTATCGTTTCTCAGTTTTGTGTGACGATCGGCCGAGCCCATTTTTGTAATTTGTGCTTATACTACCGAATCGATTTCAAAAAATCAATAACTGTTCGAAAGATATTAGTTGGGAATGATACTGATTAGTTTAAGGTGAAAATCTACCGAGCCGTTTTCTTGTAATTAACAGTTGAAAAAAAAAATTAAGCCGATTTTTACGGAACTTTTTTGGCATTATATATCATGGTCTTATTGAACTTACTGAAATATTAATGCCTTACGACAAGTAGATTAGTTTTAAAAACTTAGCAAAGTTTGAAAAAATGAGTAGTTTTTTTGACATTTGTTAAAATTAAAATGAGACGATTTACTTGGTATAACGATAGAGTACTTGGTCTTAATGAGCATGATAAACAATTAAAGTCCTACAAAAACCTGGCTCAATTATAAAAATTATTGATTTTTGAAAATTTGCTTTTAAAAAACACTCCGACCGGATTGACGTGTTCGATTTTCAATAATGTGTAATAAATCCACTACTCATAAAATAATTTATCTATCATGGATTAAATCGATTATTTACACAAATCGGGAAGTTCATGTAACTTGCCTCAAGGCAAAATACCAATACCAACTAGTTTAGCTTTGTTTTTTGCTTGGCAACTGAGCAATTAATGACAAAATGACCAATAAATGTCGTGATGTAAAATTTCTGGGTGTCGAAGGAAATCGAACTGAATTTCAATCATTTTTCTTGAAGATTGGAAAAAAAAGTTGGTATGTTTCGAACGTATGTAATGAGATAAAATTGACTTCGTTTCGATAAAATCGAATTTTAGTTCGTTTTAATTTCATTTAAACATTCATTATTTATATAAAAATGATATTAAAGTCTTTTGATTTGAATTTGATATTCATATTCATATTGTTACATAATTATTTGAAATAAAACATTATATATTTTTCTTATATCATTGAATTCACTGATGAATTTTTATTTTGCAAACTAAGGTGTTAAAGGTTAATTTAGAGAATTTCGGCTCTGGAAAAACCAGATTAAATTCATTTGTGAACTTTCGGTATGACTATATCCTGCTTGTTGTCATTCATGACAATAGTTATTATAATAAAAAAAGGATCAATGCATTAAACGCAACGTTAAATCTTTCCAATATATGTAGATAAAATCTGGTTGCTCCGATCTCCGCCAAAGCTGCGGATTTGCTTTTGTTTGCGAGAAGAATAAATTTTTATCATTTTACTACGGATACGCATAAAAATCTTCAACCCGGGTGCTAACGATTTTTTTGCACTATTAATTTTTTTATAATACTTCTTGAATCATATAATAGGCGATGTCTTGCAAAATCGAAAATATTGCTTATATTAAATAATATTAATATAATATATTACATCTCTATTTTGTATCTGCCTAAGAGTCTGTGTTTCAGGCTAGTAATCTGATGTCATGTTACAATATGACTGTTTTTGATAGAATTTTTGTACAATAGTTGTTTGAAAGTAACTCTACTATTTTGTACTAGACGGCAAGGGGCCGCATAAGAACCTCCCGGAGGCCGCATGCGGCCTCGAGGCCGCAGGTTCCCCACCTATGTTTTAGAGTTTCTGCTCTAAACACACAAATTAAATGAAAGAACAATGGAGAACTAGCATATTTGGACACTTCAACTATTCTTACTTTTAAAGTTAAATATAATTTCATACAATATGAAATCAATAATGCGGCCAAAGCACATTCACCAATATAAAATATTAAAATCGGATCCTTCTGTGATGTTAAAAGATATATATTTTATCAATGAGCACGTACTCATACCATGGATTAACTAGTGGGGCGCATGGCATCGTGTCTTAAGGCAAATTGCTGGAACTTCCCGTATCAAAAATTATTTTTTTTTTGACATATTTTGGAAATTCGGAACTTTTTTTCAAAGCAATCGTACTGCTTTAGCTGCATAGAGACGCAATATCGAAGCGCGTAAGCGCCGCGTCACCGTCTAACGGACAAACGTTGTTACGAAATCCATAAAAATGTAAACTAAATTGATACAAAATATCTGATAATTTGATGTGCATATGTCTAATGATCATTTTTGACCTCAAAATGGCACTTTTTTTTACTTTTTTTACTAGATCTCCGAAATTGCTAGACCTACCTACCCAAAAATTTAATCAGTTTTTTAACTTGTGAATACAAGTAAAAAGTGAATTATTAAAATCGGACACTCCGTTCTCTTAAAAACTGAGTTACCGCTTCTGGCACTTTTTGCCCCGTATCTTTGAAACGGCTAGATCTGCCTATTCCAAAAACTAATCAGCACATCTTCTTATTGACAGGAATCGAATTTTTTTGGAATAATTGAAATCGGTTGAACCGTGTTCCCAAAATCGTCGACGAAAATTTGTATCCGCACACGCCACACACACACACACATACACACATACATCCATTTTTTCTAAGGTATGCCAAAATGTTTTTTAAATTTTTTTGCGATTACTATAACTTGCCGTACGGAAAGTTAAAAATAAATTGGCAATAAATTGCTATGAATTAACTATTATCTAAAGTATATCTATATCTATCTTTAGTAAAGTTGAGAATTTTTTAACAACAATATTTGAGAGTTGAGGGTAAAAATGTAAATCAGCCGTCACCTTGATCCTTACGACTTTGGTATCGGGAGATAACGGATGAAAATCCATAACAAAAGTATTTTCTTTCGTTGTTAGTTATGTGGTTTAGTTTACGAGACCTCAATATAATTTTTAACTACACGTTATTTGATTGTTTTATAATAAATAATGTTTATTTTAAGTGAGATTCAACAGTTTTTTGTTATATAACCTCTTTGAAAGTTTACATCTGGGTAAGATAAAAACGATCGACTGAACATTAACCTTGGCAAAGGTGTAAAAAATATAAAATAGCACATGAAAAGTGAACTAAGTTGAATAAACTAAGTTAAAATTTTACAAAATATGAAATTTATAAACAGTTATTCCTCTGCTGATAAATATTTCTGACCAAATTCCAGATCAAGGATATCTGTGTGCACCAATGGAACTTATATTTTGCATTAATTGAATAATAAAGTTATTATTTTGTAAAATTCCTTCAATAATAAAATAATATATTAAACCTGTTTGCCGTCCCAAGTTACCCCGCCTATGGGATAAAAAGGACCAGATAGCAAATATTTGAAAAATAATAAAAAAAACTTTCCTGCAATGTTGAAGGAGCTGGCAATTTTACTGAACATAGTCAGATCGTTTGATATGTGTTATTAGTTGCGATATAATTGGTTTGGTTCTCACAATATAATTTATATTAGCTCAAAGTCAAATTGGACCTTTGTGCCACCCCTACCCTACTAAAAATAATAATTATAATTTTTATAAAATTACTTTAATTGATAGAATTTTAGTTAAAACTTCTCAAAAAGCTCACCAAATCCAGGATTCAAAAAAATGTGAAAAACTGAAGAAGTAATCAGTATTAGAATAGGTGGAGTTTGTAATGACTCTATAAGTTAAAAGAACAAAAAAGACTAGGATTGTATTATAACATGTTTTCCATAGAAAGTGTATAGAGCTTCCTGAATTAACAAAATATGAACAAACAAATATTGTTAATATAAACTATATAATATTGGACAAGCAGCCCCGAAGATTATTGCTTTTATAATACCTCATTCTCTATGGCATTCATACAGCACATTCTTACATACTTAAAATAGAGTTTTAATTGTTTTGATTCTCTAGAAATTGTTCAGAAATACCTCACTTAGCAAAACAACGTTTGTCGGGTCAGCTAGTATATATATAAGTATATATTACGGAATATTTTATTTTTCCTCAAATATCGCAACGATGACTAAGTTTCGACGTCAAAACTTATATTAGGAACTGCACAAGAATATTCTAGATCGTTTATTTTTAATTCTCTATATAAATTTGGATCGGTGTTGATTTTCGGATTAGTCTCAGTCAGTACAGTGTTTTGAAAAGTTATAACGCAAAGGTGAGATATTTAGTATTAGTTAAAGTGAAATGTGAGAAATTAAAATTTATAATTGTTAGTGTTTATAATTAATTAAAATATTTTTTAATAATATAAAATTAAGAATTCACATAACATAGATATGGTGTGTCTTGCATAAGTAGTTGTGTACAAAGTGTATAATTTAGCACTAATAATTAGCTATTATCTCTAACTTCTCTTTAACTTTAATGAATTTTTATCTATTAACTTTATTATCATAATTCTGCTTCACTAAAATAATCTATTTAAAACATGAAACTTCGTTAAACACAAGTTAGTGCAAAAATGGAAATACTAAATTATATGATTTGTGCACATCTACTAATTTAGGACACCAAATATATGTAAATTCTCATTTTTATATTGTTATAATTATTTTTCTATCTATTATGTTTTTTAATGTATTGTGTACGTATATATACACACTTAAATAGTAAGTGTTTGTGAACATATATACTCTATAGTTATTAATACACAAACACAAAACAAAATCATGATCAATGAAAATATTCCTTCACAAAAATTTATTATTGTCGAAAATATTAGTAATATTTTCATTGATAATTTTGTTTTATATTTGTGTATTAATAACTTAATGTGGTAAGTTTCTATATTTCATTTCAATTCATTATTTTGCTAAATATTTTTTACTTATGTTACACATAAGTTACTTATGTGTACTTTTTTAACCCTTGCTTTTATTAACTTCCCGTAGGGCAAGTTATAGTAATCGCAAAAAAATCGAAAATGAAATTTTTTATAGATCTTCACGTTTCAAAACCTTCTGAACATTTTGGCAAACCATAGAAAAAATGAATGTATGTGTGTGTGTGTGTGCGTGTATGTATGTATGTTCGGATACAAATTTTTGTCGACGATTTTGGGAACACGGATCAACTGATTTGAATAATTCAATAAACATTCGATTCGTATTGATAAGGAGACGTGCTGATTAGTTTTTGGCAAAGGCAGGTCTAGCCGTTCCGAAGATACGGGGCAAAATGTTCTGAAAACTATAACTCAGTTTTTAAGAGAACGGAGCATCCGATTTGAATAATTCAAAAAACATTTTATTTGTATTGACTAAATGAAAAACTAATCAAATTTTTGGAAAAGCAGGTCCAACGACTTTGGAGATATGGAGGAAAAAGTAAAAAAATGAGCCATTTGGCGGTCAAAAATAAACATTAGACATATGCACATCAAATTATCAGATATTTTATAGAGATTTTAACAATACGTATAAATTTTGTTTAATTTCCTATGGGTTCCGTACCAATGTTTACGCGTTAGACGGCGACGCGGCGCTTACGCGTTTTGATATTTCGTCTTTATGCAGTTATAGCAGTACTTTGAAATTGCTTTGAAAAAAAGTTCAGAATTTCCAAAATATTCCAGAATAAATGATTTAAGATAGAATGATTTAATATGGTTCGAAATTCTATTAAAAGTTTCAAATCATTGATCAACTTTTATTGATTGTTATTATTGATTATTTTTAATTACTCGAATTTTGAATTGCGGTACGGGAAGTTCCAGCAATTTGCCTTAAGGCACGATGCCCTAATTGACAGAAATCGACTTACAGCTGAAGGTTGTTCAGAAGGTTTTGAAACGTAAAGATCTATAAAAATTTTCATTTTCGATTTTTTTGCGATTACTATAACTTGCCCCACGGGAAGTTAATTAACTTGTAATGGCAAGATGAAGAACTGGTAGAATTTTTGATAAGGCAGGTTTAGCGGTTTTGAAGATACAGATGAAAAAGTAAAAAACTAGTAGTGCATGGCATCGTGTCTTAAGACCAACTGCTGGAACTTTCCTTACCAGAGTTAAATATTTGAGAAAAAAAACATTAATCAATAGATATTGATCAATGATTAAAAACAATTGTTTTAAACATTTTCAAATAGATAATTATAATCACTATAAATTTTATCATTCATAAAATATACAGGGACGATCTTATCGCTTAAAGCATTTGGGAAAATTTATATTAGCAAGAGGTGGCGAATGAATCCACTTGAGGATATATTTCTTACGATTAGAATAACGCATTTTCTCCTATCATTCCCGTCACTTAGGTAAAATGGAAAAAAGGAAAAATCGAGAAATCGCATGTCAAAATTTTCGCTCCGCTCGTACACATGCTTGACGCTTGCTCACTATATCTTCTATAACTCCGAAAATAATTTGAATTTGTTTCTGAAATTTTAGGGATATATTATTGGCTAGTTTTGGAAGATATTTTTGCAAAAAAACAATTTTTAGCCTCTCAAAAAACAATTAAATATCGTATACTTAAAATTTATATTAGTCTCGCAAACTAAGCTATAGTGCTTACAGCCAAAATTAACGAAAAACTGAAGAAAGCAAAATCTTTTGTTATGTATTTTCAAATATTGCCAATAAAAAGTGATTGCTCGTTATACACCTTGTTTGTTTTACTTATAAATATTGTTGGTAAAAAATTCTTAACTTTTCCGGTTTTTGAGAAATCGGTGGTAGACCTTTTCACCCGCGGATCTTTACCACGCACTAAATTATATATATATATATATATATATATATATATATATTTGTAATGTTTTCGCAGCCCAATCGTCGAATTAAAAAAAGATTAAATAACAAAATTTTTTTTCCATTAAACGTTTCGACACTTGATGTGTGTCATCATTCAGTAATCTAAAAAACATATTACATAAATACAATGTTGATAATAAATATAAATATATAAAAAAGAGAAAATTATGCATACCAAACCAGGAAAAACAACAGAAAAAAATTAATTATGATGTAAAATTGATTGAAGACTAAATTTATGTAAAATAATAATATTCTATTATATTAACAAACAAGAAATTGAAGAAGCACATATTGCCCTCCTTTATATTATGTTATTAATAGCGGTGCATTATGGACACTGATCAAGGTTACAAAGCAAGTGTAGTGAAGGAGTGAGAGCGGGGTGTGAGAAACGAAAGGAAAAAGAGAAACAGAAAAGAAATGTAACGAACGAAAGATTTTAAAACTGTATAGTAACTGTCATGTAAGAGATGAAAGGAATTACGTTTGCTGACACAAGAAGTATTAAGGGATATAAGTAAAGACTCAACTATCTTTCTAAGGTCACCATTTTTTTCAATGTAAAGGATGGACGGATTTCATATGTTAAAAGTGTGGTCCAAGTTTATCATATGTTCTGAAAGCATCGTCATATATATATATATATATATATATATGTATATATATATAACTCAAAAAAGTTATAATCATCCCTATTAAACACAATATTTCTTTTTCATTTCAGCAATTTCCCAACATGTCACTCGTTCCTTTAATGTTCCGCGACTGGTGGGATGACTTTGGAATCGATCATCCTTCTTCAAGACTCTTTGACCAGCACTTTGGCATGGGTTTAAACAGAAACGATCTCTTATCCTCTTTTAGGAATAGTCCAACCTTACTGCGTGGAGGATATTTTAGACCCTGGAGAACAGAGTTGCTGAAACAAGATTCTGGATCTACTGTGACTGCTGATAAAGACAAATTTCAGGTACGGAGGACCTTTGATCAAAAGTGATATTTTGAGAAAGGTTAGCTAGATATTTTCAATAAGATGATGGTCTTGCAGAACATCTGGTAGCAACGTTACTAGTATATTAAATTTCACTTCTAATTACGATGGTTTATAATTATATTATATTATTATAAAATTGCGTCATTTACTAGAAAAGTTGTTGTTTTTGAACTAATCATCTTTTTTATGGTGTGATAATTGTTATTTCTACAAATTCACTAATACACGACTATTCAAAATTACAGAACACAATCACACCAGCCGTGTTTGAGGTAAATAGAATTTGTTTCGAATTTACTAAAAATATGAAATTATGATTCTATTCTTTACTTTTAATCTCAACAAAACAATTTACTAACCAAATTTTAGTAAACTGGGTTTAACTAACTAATCTTAATTTTAGGTTATACTGGACGTCCAGCAGTTTAGCCCAAAGGAAATAACAGTAAAAACTCAGGATAATTTTGTGATCGTTGAAGGAAAACATGAAGAGAAACAAGATGAGCACGGTTTTATTTCAAGGCACTTTGTTCGCAGGTAATTATTTTATATTTAGCTACATACAAAAAATAAATTAACACTACACTATACTAATTAAAAATTGAAAATTATATTAAGTCAAAAAAAGCAATTTTGCAAGAGATAGATTAAATAAATATTTATTCCAACGCCGATGATGAATATTTCTGACAAAATACTAGATCAAGGTTATTTTTAGTGTTACTGCGCCCATGTCACAAATTTTTGAAAAACTGCTAAAACCACGTTCTACAATGGGGAGAGTTGGGAGTTTTACTGAATATAGTTGTTAACGCCTAAAGTTCAACCCTATTCTAAATCATTCAAATATATTTTAATACCTTTCTAATAGGATAAGCATTCCTGTCATCCTGTCCCTTGCAGACCCTCAAATATTAATCCTTTTTTCCAAGAAATATTTTTCCTTGAACTCGATTCAATCAAATCGCTTTGATGTCGCTTAAATCCTCAAAACGAGCCAATCAGAAAAATAATATAAAATATATAATATAAATTATCAAATATTTGTAATCAGTAATATATCAATCTTCATCTAAGTAACAGACTAAAGTCAACATTCAAACAAATAATTCAACTGAATAATTTAATTTAACTCAACTTTAGATCTACGTATTATTAACTTCCTGAATGAGTTTATGTTTTCATAAAAAAATTCGATTCGCTAATTTTATGTTTTCTCGAGGTTTCAAGCAATTCTGAATCAAATAAGACCTGGAAAAAGGGTGTGTGTGTGTATGTGAACAGATTTTTTGCCATAAATCGACGTTTTCTCTAAAACGGCTAGACCGATTTCAAAAATTTTTCTAGTAATGAGATGTTAAGTTTTTTTTGTCGATTTTTATGATTTTTTTGGCGGTAGATGCCATAGTCTTATTGATCATACTAAAATATTACGGCCCTACGACAAGTCGTATAATTTTAAAAATTCTTCAAAGTTTGGAAAAATTAGTATCGTTTTTTTGGCATTTATCAAAATTAGAACTTTCATCGACGTTTGCTCAAAAACGCCTGCACCGATTTCAAAAATTTAAAAGCCATTTGATGTATCTCAATGACAACTATCGTTTGTCAGATTTGTTTTTGTAATTAACTGTTGAAAAAAAAAGTTAGGCCGATTTTCATAAAACTTTTTTTGGTCTTATAGAACTAACGACAAGTAGTTAATTTTAAAAATTCATCGAAGTTTGTAAACGTGATTAGTTTTTTTGACGTTTTAAAATTAAAATTAGACGATTCACTTGGTATAATTATAGAGTACTTGGTCTTAATAAACATACTAAACCATTAAAGCCATAAGGAAACTATGGTTCAATTATAAAAATTATTGATTTTTGAAAGTTTGCTTTTAGAAAATACTCCGAGTCAACGTGTTCGTTCGTTTTCAATTATGTGTAATAAATGCAGTCGGAATACTTTTAATCACTCATAAAATAAATAATTATTATGGATTTAGTCGATTATTTACACATGTCAGGAAGTTCATGTAACTTGGCTCAAGGCAAAATATCAATACTGACTTAAAAGACTTAAAAGTAGCTATCAGCTTTATTACCATCTACTTCATTTCTAATTTAATCGGTCTGATATAGCCAATAAGTATAACTGGTCATTCAGTGAACAATCGACAAAAAATGTATATTATTAATAGAGTTCAGCAGCATCTCGGTGAATCACGAATTTATTTGATCTTTTTAATCTATCTTGTGAACACAATATAGTCATATAGTTGTTTGCTTCAATTGTGATATAATTATAGTTGGTTTGATTTCACAATATGATTGTACTTTTCAAATTGGACTTTTGTGCCCCGCTTGATTCTATTTAAACTTGAAAACAAATTTTCTTTATCAGGTATATGCTGCCGGCCGAACACAATCCAAACGACGTCGTATCGAGTCTCTCATCTGATGGCGTTTTAACAATCACAGCTCCTAAAAAAGCCTTGCCGCCCCCCAGTACCGAACGTGTTGTCCCCATAACTCAAACAGGGCCGGCTAAGGAAACACAAGTGCCCGTGGAACAAAACAAAGAATAAATATTATAAAAAACACATATACATATATGATTGATAATCAGAAAATATTTATTTTAACATTTAATGGATAAGAAACCCCTGATGTGAAAGAGCATCCCTGAAATTAAGTTTAATGTATGAATATAATATTTATTAGTTATTTATTACTAGAAATTACAATTAATTATGAACTAAATTGTAACTATAATTAATTCTAAAGTTGTATAAGAATTTTTGTAAATTTATTTTTGTTTGATAAAAATGTTGAAGCTCATTTTTTATGTTCTGTATATACATAAGGGCGTAACTAGCGCCGTATCAGCCGTATCAAAAATATGGGGCCCCCCAACCAAGGGGCCCTCAACGAGCGCAAGGAAAAAGCAAAACTACAATTTTTCAAAAAATATAATAAATTTACCGTAGTTTGCATTTCCTTTTTTATCGAGAGATATCGAACTTCAACTTATAAGCTAACGCTTTAAGAGAATTTATTTCTGCTGCAATATTTCTGTAAGCTCTAGCAATCAACACAATTAGTAAAACTTTTCCACATTCGATAAGTTGACAAATCTATGAAACTAATTCAGATTATACATTTTTCATCGAAAATTGGAATTTGGAATTTTTATATTCATATTTATATCGTCTTTTGTTTGTTGTTTGGAGCGTGAGTTTAATAGTTAGATTTTGATAAATATGATCAACTAAATCATTTTCAGGTTTCTTTCATCACTGTTTAAAAATATAAGTTTCTGTTCTGAAACTTTACAACACGCTAGTAATGACTTACAAAAAATAGTATTTTATTAAGTAATCCTTTGAATAGATTGTGCGAATTAACATATGAAAATTTATTGAAATAGTTTGTTGAAGAAGTACAAATAATTTGCAAAAGAGATGGATTGCATTAACTTTTTTAAAGAACAAAATAAAAAACATAATGAAGCGTTATTATCAAAAGATGAGAGAATTTTAGACCTGAAATCTTATTTTAATGTATACTATTGCTGTTTGGATATATTAATTTCACAAACTAAACAAAGATTTCAAAACCTTTGCGACGTAAGTAGGAACATTTGTCGTTTTACTCTAAAGAAATAATAGTAAGCATTTTTTTTGGCTCCTAATTAGAATTTACAGTTAAAATCGCAACTGCTAAAAATTTTTTTTGGAATTAAAACTAATTAAAAATTACGTAAATACTTTAGGACATAAATGTCTACCAGACCTGTATGCTCCTAGAGACAGAAACTTTATAAAATTTAAAGATCATTAAATAAGTCAGTTTTTCAAAAAAAGGTAAGGAGAGTGAAAATATATCTGGAATCATTTGTGAAAAGTTCAGTAAATTAGAGGAAATTTAATAGATAAATAATTTGAAGGATAAATAAATATTCTTTTAATATTATGTATTTCTATATTTTGTGAAAAAAACTTCTTCTTGAGGGGGCCCCCAAACAAATTTTGATACGGGGCCCCGCCAAAGCATGCCCATGTATATGTACATATGTATTTTCTATATAGCCCAATGTGTCCTGCCAAATGTGAATTGGGATTTCAAACTGAAGGATAATGGTCAACACATTGATATTTTTTCGTAAAATTAATATAAATTGTGAGAAAGAAAGAAAAATAAAGAAGCATATTAATAGTTAATATTATATACATGCGGACATTAAACTTCTAATTGTCTCATATCGGACAAATAATTCGGAATTTTTAATGATAGCATTTATAATTAAAATAGCTAACTTAGCAAGAAGTTGAAAAAATTTCATCAGTGAGAAGTTTTCATTAAAAGTTTTTCTCTGAATTGGTATCTAGTTAAAATGTAATGAATTCGAGTTAAATTAATTTTTATTTTTGACATTTACTTATTCATATACTACATAATCAGGTTCATTTGATTGTGATAATTTTCTATTTTATCATCGTATTTCGCGCTCTTTTGTTATCAAGACATTTTTCGCCGGTTTTATGTTAAGATATTTATGAATACTTAACAAGGATGACTATTCACAAAAAATTGCGCAATTATTTTCGGACACCTGTACTTATACGACCGTAAATAACGACCCAACCGAACATATTAGCTGCGCCTGTATAAACTTGTAAACAAATTAGTTTACAAGTTTATACAGGTGCTGCTAATATACAAAATGTTACAAAAATACAGCTACAGCCCTTTAAAAATTTGTATATATATATATATATATATATATACATATTTAAAAACTTTATAAGAAATCTGATAATTTGATGTGCATATGTCAAATACCATTTTTAACTGCAAAATATCGTATTTTTTACTTTTTTCTCTGTATTTCTTAAACAGATAGACCTGCCTTACCAAAAATTTCATCTCTTCATTTTGTCAATAAAAGTAAAATGTTTTTTGAATCATTCAAATCAGGTACACCGATTAAACGTTCTCTCAAAAACTGAATTGGCGTTTTTGGCACTTATTGCCCCGTATCTACGAAACGAATATACCTGTTTTCTTTTAAAAACTAATCAGCACACTTTCTCATCAATAGGAATCGATTGTTTTTTGATTCATTTAAATCGGTTGATTCGTGCGCTCGAAATCGTAGACGAAAAATTGTATCCAAACATACACACGCATACATCAATTTTTTTAAGATATGCCAAAATGTTCAGAATCCTTTAAAATGTGAAGATATACCAACATTTTCATTTTCGATTTTTTTGCGATTACCATAACTTATCCTATGAGAAGTTAACAAATCTTTTATTTCTGTTATGTAGATAATATTATTACTAATATACCAGGAAAAGATATTAGCATCTTTACGGATCATTTTAACGACTTCAATAGAAAACTATAGATAATCGTGTAGTTTACAACAATGAATTTGATTAGCTTTCTAGACTGATACGTACAAATGACCATCACCATCTCGTACCAGAAACTAACTAGCTTCGGATAAATTACCTTTCATACCACCGTCCTAAAACAGAAATAGCCACAATAATAAACTTCAGTCTTTGTCTTCAATTTCCTTATAGTATTTTTCTATTTTTCTTTTCATCATTGGTCATCTTAACATTGTTTGGCAATTCGTTATATATTTTTCTAGCACTCCATATGACATTTTCTCTCAAACTCTTCTTTCTATTGTGTTCAATGTGAAAATTGTTGTGTTGTCTTGTCTAGTGTAGTGTTCATGTATATCTTGATTTATGTCTACTGTTGCACTTGTTTTAATTCGGTTAAATTTCATTTTGTGTATTAGTTTGCATTTTTCTATTTTAATTATGTTAAACTTAACAGGATACGCCATCCTACTATCTAATAAAAGAATCTGGGACACTAACATAGACCTGATTTGCAACATATTAAGAAATAACTTATATATATTATAAACTCAATTATAAATAATAGACACAAGCACCTTCTTGACAAACAAAATAACCCGACCAAACTTTATAACCATTCAGACTTGGAACCAAACACCGGTTTCATTTGTCTACCAATTATATCTTTTGTGGAGAAAATTATTTTAACATTGCGGTCTATTATGAGTATGTAATTGTGACAACCCTTATTTCCATTTTCGCTAAAGTCAAGTCAAAATTCAATTCAACAAAATGTATCAAACTGCACACTTGTCAACACAGGCGAAACAAGTCAGAATCTGAGCAAACATAAAAACAGAAAGATTTTTTATGTGCCATCGTGCATTCATCCCAAACGATCAATTGATATTGCTGCAAAACCTTAGCCATTGCAGAGTTCTTCGAAAAGTTGCAAGTTGGAGTTTCATTTTTTTGCATATTTAATGGCAATTTTAGTGCTGAATGGGCTGTTCGACCACCTTCTAGTAAAGTTGCTGCGATTCCCGAGGAAGCGAGATCAAGTGCAATTTTGTTTTTTGAGCGAATTGTTGCTAATATAAAAAAATAAAATCAAAAAAGTTTTTCATGTACCACCAAGCGCATCTAAGAAGTAAATTCCCCCAGTTTCATCATTTGTTACTTTCATAATAATATAAAATACATACCTCTGTTGTTCATTCAACAGTAAAAAATTTGTTTCGATTAATTCATTCAAATAGTTGAGATCAACAGTTTTTCTCGATGCAACTCTTGGTTAAAAGCATCATGCATTGAACGATTGCGCGGCCAGGCCAAAGTGAATTAATACTTTGTTTGACATCATCAAGCAAATGTCATCAATTGAAATCGATGCTTTGTTGAAATTTTCTTTACTGATTTGCATATTTGGATTTCCCATTAAATTCCGTATTTGACATAAAACATCATCACACATATAATGTTTGTACTTGATCCACAAATCAATTGGGTTGGGTGGAAAGCATGTGGATATGATTATTGAAAACAATGCTCGTATTTGATGAGCGTGTGAAGATATTACAGCATCACTGAGAGTTTGATCCCAATGAGCGTCATTTTCTAGCAATTGTAAACGTTGACGGGCTTCTCTGTAGGATCCACACAATTCACCATCAACAGTTCGTAAAAGTTGGAATAATGTTGGGACACGTACATTGACTAATAGCAGTCGTAAATAAAAGCATTCACCATGGCTTGGATGTACTGAATAAATTCGTAAATCGCATCGGTGGAATATACATCTGTGTATCCTGGTAATGGTTTCCCTTATTTCCGTCGCATAAATCTTCTTGATTCCAAGTATAATATTTTGGAATTCCAGAATATAGCAGTGTTTGTGCAAAATTATCGTTTTGACATGTCTCAAAAAATTTGTTAATGTAGTAAAAGGTGGCTGAGCAGCTCTTTGACCTGCGTTTACTGCTGTAAAGTACACCCTTTGACCATTTTCTAAATGCACAGTTAAGTCAATAACAGAAGGGTGTCTCTCATGAATTGGAAAAGAAAATATTCGCCAAATTGTTTCATTGCTACTAACACAGGGCCCATTTGATTTTGAGTAACTTCATCATTGGTCAGTAATTAGCTTGGCTTGTAGCATTTCGTGTTCTTCTACTTAAATTGCCTCGTCTTATATTAAAATATTGTGTCACATGCAATAACTTTTTATTCATAGGTAGATAACAAAACACTACAAACAAAACAAAAGCACACACTACCGGCAAGGGCGGCAAATGGGCATTGACATTGATTTTTTTTATCTTATATTATATGACTTGAAGTCAAATCCTTTAAAGCCATACCAATTTTGTCGCCTGCCGAAAGTAAAACAAATGAAATAATATCGAGAAGCCGACTACGATTATTCGTATTAGTTAGAAAAAGGCTGTTTTTAGGGGTTTCCCGACGATTATTCAATTATTTTTCGCTGTAAGAACCATTATTGGACATCAACAAACATTTTAAAAAAAGAATTGGCTAAATTGGTCCAGGCGTTGTTGAGTTATGCGCTTACCAACACATTTTGCGATCCATTTTTATATATAAGATCAAACAATGCTAAATGTTGATGCTAAATTTCTAATCAAGGTGTTTTATTCTTAGACACAACAGGTAAACTTATTTTTTACTTAAACGCATTTTTAATTCATTATCTTTTGAAAGGATACGCTACAGCAATTCTTGGGTTTTAAAGGGCGATATTGAGTTGAAATCAAAAGACACGATAGATAAATTTACCAGAGAAAAGATGTTATTGCTCGTTTCATTAGCAGTGCGGTATGTTATTGGACCGAGAAATAAAATTTTAGAAAATGTCTTTCCGGTTCTATAGAATAATTATTAAATCACCAGCATCTATTGTATATGGAGCTAATTATGTTCACATCAACGTTTATTGCTGACCAAATAAAACTATAACATATTTAATTGTGATCTAAATGAATATGCAATATATCAGGTTGAGACATTCTTATACTAAAATTTTTATTTTCTACCGACTAATATATATATATATATATATATATATATATATATATATATATATATATATATATTCTAACAAAACGATTTACTTACATTGACAGCAAATAATCTGCAGCTTGTAAAGCATCATTTTCGACAGCGAGATGTAAAGGAGTGTTTCCCACGTGGTCCTGAACATTCATATCTAAAATAATAACAATATTGTTAATTCTGAATAAGACTGATGAGTTTATGGCTGTAACTCTTACTTGGTTTGTATTGAAAAGTCGCTAAACCATGTGGATGAATGGTAAATCGAACGAAAAAACCAAAAATTATATTTTTTTTAAAAAGATTAACATTTTGAAAAAAAAATTACTTTGAAAGAAATAGATTTTTGAGAAACTCCAAATTTTTGACAAATGTTCACTTTTTAGAAAAAAAAAACTTTTTAACAAAAAAATTTCTTTATTTTGAAATATTTTGAAAATTCTGAACTTTTTTGCAAAGCAATCCTACTGCTTTAACTGCAGCGAGACTAAATATCGAAGCGCGCAAGCGCCGCGTCGCCGTCTAACGGATAAACATTGGTACCGATAGAACAGTAAACAAAATTTATACTTATTATTGAAATGTCTATAAAATATCTGATAATTTAATGTGCATATATCTAATGATCATTTTTGACCGCCAAATGGCATTGTTTTTTACTCTTTTTACTAGATCTCCGAAACCGCTAGACCCGCCTTCATGAAAATTTAATCAGTTTTTCATCTTGTCAATACAGATAAAATCTTTTTTGAATTAATAAAATCGGACGCCCCGTTCTCTTGAAAACTGGGTTACCGTTTGTACTGATACTTTTTGCCCCGTATCTTCGAAACGGCTAGACCTGCCTATGCCAAAAACTAATCAGCACGTCTCCTAATCAACAGCAATCGAATGTTTTTTAAGTAATTGAAATCGATGTTCCGAAATCGTCGACGAAAATTTGTATCCGCACACATACACACATACACACATGCATACATACACACGCACATCAATTTTTTCTAAGAAATGCCAAAATGTTCAGAAACTTCTGAAACGTAAAGATATATAAAGATTTTCATTTTCGATTTTTTTACGATTACTATAACTGACCCTACGGGAAGTTAAATATAATCATTTATTTCATTTTCCCTTTATACTTGTCATTAACAATTAGTTACGATGAAACCACCCGACAGATATTTAACATCGAACCAAACAGCATCGATCCTCTCGAAGCTTTTCTACCAATTCTAAAGAAATAGCTAGGCCGATATTTTTATATCACTAATCAACCCGAGTCCTTACTCATCAAATTGCTTTTAAATTTTTGAAATTGATGTAGTTGTTTTTGAGATAGCTTCGATGAAATCTCAAATTGTGTTTGGCACACACTTACTTTGTGTACATCATAGATAAATAAGTTAAATAAGTACATTATATTTATAATGTACGAATATGCGGTTAAAACATACGCGGTTAATATTCTAGAATCTTGATATATTGTTTCCAACGTTCATTCATTCTTACAATTAAATCACATAATATTTCAGTGTCATATTTAACACCATGATTTTTATCATCATAAAAAGTTTTATCAAAAACGTCAAAGAAATAACAATTAATTACGAAGAAATTGCCCTGCTAATTTTTACTAATAAGCGTTTTCTTGAATGGATTTTAATTAATAAGTAGCTACTACATATAATTTTTCCAATTTAAGTGCCAAACGATTCAGAATGACATTGCAAAAACATAATAACAAATAATCATTGTTACTAAGCTAAGTTATCTAAACTTTATGAACTGATAACCGATGTCACAAAAGTATTTCATTCATACCTCACAGACCACAATATCATTGTAGAAATAGACAACACACACTCGACGGTTAAACAAGTGACGGCAAGGGTACCACAAGGTTTAATCCTGGGATCAACAGAAAACTGAGGCCATTTTGTTTACAAAATGTTGTGAGTACCCTACATAGACATATTTGTTTAAAATAGAAGTAATGAGCCACAAAGTTTAATGGTCCCAGGATGTCAAATACTTTGGAGTAACCTTGGACTATAGACTCAGCTTTACCAAACATGTCAACATCAAAATTGGACAGAAGTTTGGGGTGGCAAATATGCTGAAACCTCTATTGAACCATAACAGATAGCTGAGCGTGAAGAACAAGCGGACGCTTCACTTGACCTTAATACAACCGTTACTATTGCACGCCGCTCCAGCATAAAACGCAACAACAAAGACGAAACTTCGGAGGCTACAGACTGTACAAAATAAAGCTTTACGACTAATACTCAATAAATGAAGGGACCTACTGACAAAACACTGTTACTCTACAAATATATACATAATCAGACTGACGTACCGACAGTACTCGATCAAATAAAGAAACTCACTGAGAAATCTTACCTCAAAAATTAGGATCATGGGAAATAATTTCATATAAATCATCCATGAAACATAATTCTAACAAAACTATTGTAAACTCGTAATTTGAGAATTGGTTAGGAACCAGAAATGAAATATTTCATTGTCATTCACACCATTTGATATGCATACTAGATTTTGCCACTGTTTTTTTCTTTTAGCAGAAGTTACAGGTATTAAAGCAGCTTTAGATTTTGTTAAACAAAAAACGATCTTAAAAAATGTAATCCTAATAAATAGTAAATCCGCACTGCTGGCTTTAAGCAATCTTAAAGAAAGAAATCCTTTATTCTACGACGCAATTCACAAAATAAAGAAACATATTTCAGAAAACAAAAACATCATCGAATTAGCATGGATATGCATAGCATAAGATCAAATTTCGAAGAAATGAATATGTGGATAAATTTGCTAAAGAAGCTCTTTTATCGGATTTTTTTACAAAAAAGATACTCGCGCCTGACCTAAAAAGATTATGGAAAAACGAATAAGACATAGAAGCCAGAAAAAAACCAAAAGTATCTCTCAGAATTTTATCAAATAATGAAACTTTACATACCTATATTATATACCCACATGCCTATATTATATAATTGACATGAGGTCAAAAGCCATACAAAAATTTAGAAAAGTCTTTATTTCGATATTTTGCTGCAGAACTAACACATATTACTGCGTAAAAAGGCAGCAAATCTTGTTCATGGTCATTAATAAAACTTTCTTTCAACTTTCAAATCTGTTTAACGAGTAATCTGATACATTCACCCTGACGATCTTTTGATCATTCAAACTTGATAATAATTAGTTCAAGTATAAAAATTCTTGGAAACGATTTAAAAATGTTTATATAATTTGTATGGTTTGAAGGATCATTTTGTTAAAAAAAGAACTGTGTATAGTGTATCTTTGAAAATTGTTTAATTATGACTGAAATTATAACTATTTTAAATAAAAATTGATAGAGAACATTAATTAATTTATCATAGTATGGTGTTTGTATCATAAATTTATAAATTGTGTAAATGTTTAATAATGCAATGAAAAGTACAATTAATAATTTGATAAAAAATTAGTTACAAAATAATTTAATCGTGACTCTGCTCTCAGCATATGCTTATGTGTGGATTATAAAATACCAGGGTTTACTTTCAAATAATTTGTCATATTATTCTAATTAGTTTATAAGAAAAAAATATCAAGCTTTTCTATTTATTAACTTCATTACTTAAGCATTTTTGGAATTAGGGAGCAAAAAGTGTAGAAAAAAGAAATTAGGTTTTTGCGAAAACCGGGCATCGGATTAGAATGATTCAATTCAAACAACAATTAGTATAATTACCCCCATCATGTGCGTAGATGTATTGAAGAATATTGACGCGATTTCGGGCAGCAGCTTGATGAACGGCTGCGCGACCTCTGCCATCTCTGACCCCCAGACGACCAGGCTCAGATAAGTGGAGTCGAGAAAAATCTTCTAGATTTCCACTTTCGGCAGCCTAAAAAAATAAACATTCAAAATTGAAATACTAAGTAAAAATATTTTTGATCAATAAATTCAACACAAAATTTTAAGGACTTTTACTATAATTAATAACTTCCCGTAGGGTAAGTTATTGTAATTGTCCAAAAATCGAAATTGAAATTTTTTGTTTTACGTTTTGAAGCTTTGTGAACATTTGACATACCTCAGAAAAAATGGATATGTGTGCGTATGTATACAATTTTTACGTCCACGTTTTCAGACGCACGGATCAACCGAATTGAATGGTCCATAAAATATTCGATTCTTATAGATAGGGAGATGTGCTGATTAGTTTTTGGCAAAGGCAGGTCCACCCATTTCGGAGATACGGAGCAAAGAATGCAAAAAATAGAAATCGAGTTTTGAGAGATGTGATGAATTCCTATTTCCTTTGTATATTTAAATAATTTATTTGTTGTTCATACGATAAACCAATGATGTGTACGGCATCGTGCCTTAAGGCAAAATGTTCGAGAAATTTTAAATATTTTCAAATAGATAATTATAAATACTGTAACATTGCCTAATATTTATAAGAATTATATAAACTGAATTGCAAAGTTGAAATTATTTGTTTAAAGTATATTAGCACTTTAGACAAAATTAAAATTAAAATCTGAATTGTTTTCAATATACAAAAAAAAAAACTTGAAAAAAAAATTTTTGGAACACAATTTTTTTTTCCAAAAGCAATTATTTTGTTGAAACCTGCAGAAAGTTCTTTGAATCATTCAAATCGTGCGCTTAGTTCTCTCTAAAACTGCCATTTTTTGTACATTTAACTCTATATCTTCGAAATGGCTGAACCTGTCTTTGCCAAAAACTAATCACCTCTTCTCCCAATCATTACAAATTGAATGTTTTCTAGATCATTCAAATCGATTACTCCGTTCTCTCAAAAACTCGATTTGTATTTTCTGCACTCTTTGCTCCGTATCTCCGTAATGGCTGGACATGCCTTTGCCAAAAACTAATCAGCACATTTTCCTATCCGTTTTCCTATTCTTCCTATCCGTTTTTTGAACCATTCAAATCGATTGATCCGTGCGCCCGAAAACGTGAACGAAAAAATGCGGACACACAAAACACACACACACACATACACATACACATATCCAATTTTTCTGAGGTATGCCAAAATGTTCAGAAACCTTCAAAACGTCGAGAAATGCAAAAATTTTCAATTTCGATTTTTGGACGATTACAATAACTTACCCAACGGGAAGTTAATAAATAATTTTAACTTTGTAGTTCAGTCTATATAACTCTTATAAATATCAGACAATGTTATAGTAATCACAATAATCTATTTGAAAATATTTAATATTCCGGAAAATATTTAAGTTCCGGAAATTTGCCTTAAAGCACGATGCCATACACCAATAGTTCAAATTTATATGAGAAAATCCATAAAAATGTTCACTTTTGTGCAATTTAATTTTGCACAATACAATTTCATAATACTAAGTTCAAAGATTTTATTAACGATTGCAGTAAAGTCCGCGCAATAAACTGCAATACTTTATATGCAATTAGTGTTGCGTTTAATTTACTTTAAAATGTATTTTATTCATGAAATTTATATCATGGAGATATTAGACATTTGTTTTTCATTTAATTATTTCTAGAACAAACCGGTAAAGTGGTATGGATAATTTATAAATTATAAATTTATATAATGTGATATAATAATCGACCTCGAGGCTGTGATCGAAAAACTGAACCCTCACTTGTTAGATAATATTAAAAAAGGAGCATATCAAAAAATATGAAGTGAAAAAAAATATTGCATATATTACAAATGTTTATATTATTTTACTGATCATTGCTACTTATTTTTAACCAAATCATAAGTTTTTTTCAAAATTACGATTTTTCACTTCGTTTTTGCTACCTAACATTCATCACTTGTTAAAATAAATTTATATATATTGGCTACGACAAGTTCTACGACGTATAAAAACATGGCTAAAGAAAAAGGCAGATACAGGAAAATGAGAACAGAAAAAACGCTGGCATCTTGGATTTTTTTGCTTATAGGTATAAGAATTAGAAAGCAGTTGGCGGTCATATTATCTACACTCGATGGCCTAAAGCGCCTGGACGTTAATTAATCATTTATTGATTATCGAGAAAATATTAAACCATCAGATTCAGAAATCAAATTCTTGCATATGCTAAAAAACTAGTGGGGCGCATGGCATCGTGCCTTAAGGCAAATTGCTGGAACTTCCCGTACTAAAAATTATTATTTTTTTCAAAACTATTAACATTTTTGAAAAAAATTTACTTAAAAAAAATTAGATTTTTGAGAAACTATAAATTTGACAAAAAATTACTTTTTTCTGAATAAAAATTTTTTTTTTGAAAAATTTAAAAAAAAAAAAATGTTTTCTTTATTTTGACATATTATGGACATTTTGAACTTTTTTTCAGAGCAATCGTACTGCTTTAACTGCATAGAGACCAAATGTCAAAGCGCGTAAGCGCCGCGTCGCCGTCTAACGGATAAACACTGGTACGGAACCCATAGGAATATGAAAAAAATTTATACCTATTGTTAAAATCTCTATAAAATATCTGATAATTTGATGTGCATATGTCTAATGGTCCTTTTTGACCGCCAAATTGCATTTTTTTACTTTTTTCATTAGATCTCCGAAACCGCTAGACCTGCCTTAATGAAAATTTGATCAATTTTAGAGATTTTCAAAAAATATTCGATTCCTATTGATAAGGAGGCGTGCTGATTAGTTCTTGGCAGAGGCAGGTCTAGCCGTTCCGAAGATTTGGTGCAAAAAGTGCCAAAAACGGTAACTAAATTTTTAAAAGAACGGAGCGTCCGATTTGAATAATTCAAAAAACATTTTACTTGTTTTAACAAGATGAGGAACTGATCATTTTCATGAAGGTAGGTCTAACGGTTTCGGAGATTTAGTAAAAAAAGTAAAAAAAATGCCATTTGACGGCCGAAAATGATCATTAGACATATGCACATCAAATTATCAGATATTTTATAGAGATTTTAACAATAATTATAAATTTTGATTACATTCCTATGGGTTCCGTACCAGTGTTTATCCGTTAAACGGCGACGCGGCGCTTACGCGCGTCTCTATGCAGTTAAAGCAGTACGATTGCTTTGAAAAAAGTTCAGAATTTCCAAAATATTTCAAAATAAATTTTTATTCAAAAATTCTTTTTTTTTTCAAAAAAAGTAAGTTTTTGCCAAAAATTTATTATTTCTCAAAAATCTAATTTTTTCAGAGTAATTTTTTTTAAAAAATGTTAATCATTTTAAAAAAAATAATTTTTGGTACGGAAAGTTCCAGCGTTTTGCCTTAAGGCACGAAGCCATGCGCCCCAATAGCTACAATTTTTTTTTTATATGGATATACTAATTAACTGTTCTGTGTATATACAGAACATGTTGTATTATGTAATATAAGCACAGTAAACGATGTATAGAGTTAGTCGGCAAGAATCCCGGATTGGTTATGGGCCTTCCCCAAAGATTCGTCGTTTTTTTAAAGTAAAACTTCTTTAGGCGCGACTAAGGTGTAAATCCGTATAAATGCAATGAAAGTGCGTTACGGCAGATAATATAAGATAAGAAAAAAAGAGTCGAGTGCCAACGATTAGTCTCTCTATGATATCGAGAGACGAATTGTGATTAGTCGTCGTGTATGTGAATAGAGATCTGCCGTTGTACAACCGGCGTCAACGTTTTATGCGTACCGATATCGACAAGGTAATCGGGATTGATAAATAAACATTTCAAAGTTACATCGTATTATAAATCTTGATTTAATGAAAAATGCCTAAATTAGAAGACTATTTTACCATGTTCCTTGTAAATAATAAAACAAAAAAAACATTGATTAAAAATTATTTCTATATTCGTAGTTTCTATAAATATTTGAAGTTATTAAAATGGAAAATATTTTTTAAGGCAAAACAGATATGACAGCTGTTCAAAGAATAAGATTACATCGCCAGCAAAAAAGTGAAAAAAATACAAGTAGTCAATGAATGTATGTTAATTTGAATTAAATAAAGTTCTTCAAACACAATTACTAATTGATGAGCGAAGTTGCAAAAAGAATATTTGTTTAGACCCATTTCTCCAATGATAGTTCATTTCTTAAATATTATAACATATTTTTAACGATATTATAAATATATAATTAACTTCCCGTAGGGCAAGTTATAGTAATCGCAAAAAAATCGAAAATGAAAATTTTTATATATCTTTACGTTTCAAAACCTTCTGAACATTTTGGCATACCTTAGAAAAAGTACGATTGCTTTGAAAAAAAGTTCAGAATTTCCAAAATATTTCAAAATAAATTTTTCTTCAAAAAGTCTTTTTTTTCCAAAAAAAGTAAGTTTTTGTCAAAAATTTAGAGTTTAAAAATCCAATTTTTTCAGAGTAATTTTTTTCAAAAATGTTAACCTTTTTAAAAAAAATAATTTTTGATACGGGAAGTTCCAGCAATTTGCCTTAAAGCACGATGCCATGCGCTCCACTAGTTTATAATTTATCATTATATAAATATGTATAATGGTTGACACTAATAAATATGTGCATCACGAGTGTTATCATATTACTAATAAACATTATTCAAAATTGTTATATGATGTATTTATTTTTACTTAAATGCCATCTTGTACAGTGGCAAATATGTTTTACGTCAATCGCGTGTGAACCTTACGCGCACTCTTTTTTTTAGTTTCTTTGTAGTTTCTACCATTTCGGATTCGTCGATCTCTATGAAGTCATTAAGTCATTAAGTTCTTTATTGTTTTAATTTGATTTTATAATAGTGTTAGTATTGAAACGTGACAGAAATGATTTTTTATAATTTTGGACAGAACTTTTCGGCAAAACTAAAAATTTTTGTATGTTATTATAGAGTATAAACCATTGATCATCTCACTTGATTTTGACGTACACCTCTAGCAATGTTTTCT